CAAGGAAACCCCTCCTGTAGTCGGGGCTGGCAGAGCGGGTCTCAGCAACCCAGCGGAGGCTTTGCGGAGAAGGCGCAATAGACATGCGTGAGAAATATGCCAAGAACCATTTTACCCGAGGAAAGGGAAGGCCGAGAGGGAAGGGATCAAGGGCAACGGAGAGTTCCAACTTAGAAAAGTGTCGAAGGAAATGCTTCGCTCGGGGTAATATCACATATCTGGAGATTCAAGTATTTCCCGGATCGCAGGGAACCCGGCCGTTGGGGAACGGTGCCGACAGAGTCCCTCTCCACTCGGCGGCGATCCGTCAATCTTGCCCGCGCCTTCCCTTCCTTCTCCTTTTTTTCTTTTTCCTTCTCCTTGCCGGCCTCTCCTTCCCTGACCTAGCTGAGGCAACCTCATTAGCTCTCACTTTTTGCATAAAATATGCAAGACGCTTCCTCTCCATTAACACGGACACCGAAGACCAAAAAGACCCCCGCGGTGGCGCGAGGAGGCGGCGGCACGATCGCCACCCCGTCCACCTCGGCTCTGTCCCTCCCCGGGAAGGCAGCCACAGCCCGCCGGCCTCGCTCGCGCCCGCGGTGAACCACCTCACGCACACGCCGAGGCCGCTCGCGCTCTCCGCCCGCCCTGCCGGCCCTCTCCTCAGACCTCTGTCCCGCTCCCCTGCGACAGGGCCCCCAACAAGCCGAGGCTGAGAGACACCGTGCCGCCTCCTTGCACCCCATTTAAAGGAAAGAAAGGGCGGGTGGGAGAAAGGGGGCCGCAGCGGAAACCCCGGGGCAGACTCCCCGGCCCAGCAGCGCGCACGCCCTTTTTCGTTTCTCCTTTGTCGCGGTTCTCCACTGCTGTGGCGGCGCGCTTCAGCCGAGTACCCTGGGCCCCACGGCGCACAGCCAAGGCTCCAAACCTGGGAGGACTGCTTTGGGGGGTTCGGGAGGATTGTCTTCGGGGAGACCAAGAGCTCAGGACAGAGTTGGGGTTGGGGGGAGTGGGGTCTGGGCGGCGGGAAACAAACTTTAGAGGACGGAGAGGAGGGGAGATAGCTGGGCGGCAAATACAAAAATAGAAATAATTCGGGGGGACGCCCGCCAGGCTTCCGTGCCGGCTCCTTCCCCCCAGTTCGGGGCAAGTTCCTTTCGGCCTCCCGCGCCCCGGGGCGCCCCCTGGCGGCAGCGGTAGCAGCGGGCAGCGCACGGAGGGCACAGGGGGCGCCCCGGGGGACGCCCGGGCACACGCAGAGCGCCAGGCGCGGCCCCCTGGCGGTTGCGACGTAGTTATCTGGTGAGCGGCGCCTCATCCCTCTGGTCCGGCGGGCTCACAGCCGTCTTGCTAAGCACGGCGGCCGAGTAGGGCAGGAAGCCGCTCTCGGAGCGCGGCGCCGCGGCGCTGCAACCGAAGTCCGAGGCCCCCGCAGCCCCTGTGCCGCCGCCGCCACCTCCTCCGCCGCCGCCGCCGCCACCTCGGGAGCCCAGGGCCGCGGCGGCGGCCGCGGCGGCGGCGGCAGCCGACTGACTGCTGTGGCAACTGAGGCACGAGCAGGGCGCGGAGCCGCCGCTGGGGGGCGCCCCGGCGGCTGCCGCTGAAGAGGCCGCGGCCGCTGCCGCTGCCGCCGCGGCCGCGGCCGAGGCCGCGCTGTTGAGCCCGGCGGCAGCTGCGGGTGTCTGGTAGAGACCCGGGTGGCGGAAACTGCACAGCAGCTCCGGCCGGGAGTAGGGGTGCGAGAGGGCGCGGAAGGTGTCCAGCGGACGGATGGAGGTGGCAAAGGGTGATGAAGCTGCGGCCGCGGCTCCGGAGGCTGCGGCGGCCGCGGCCGCGGCCGTGACGCCCACGTGCGGGTAGTAGTGCAGCGGCACGTGAGAGTGGAAGGGGTAGGGCAGGCTTCCGGTGGCGGCCGCGTGCGTCATCATGTAGGTGTAGAAGCTGGGGTCGGCTGGGTGCGGCCACGACATGGCCAGGCGCTGCCGCTTGTCCTTCATGCGCCGATTCTGGAACCACACCTGCGGGGAGAGTCGCGCCGCGACCCGGGTTAGGAGCGCCGCGTCTCGCCGGCCTCCACCCCGGCCCTTGCCTCCCTTTTCCCCGGCCCCTGCGCGGCCTAGCCTGGCCCGGCCTGCTGCGCTCTGACCGGGCCGGACCCCGAGTGCCCTGGCCAGCGGCTTGTGGGCCTCCCTGCACGCCCTGTGGCAGCTCCCCGGCACCTGCTGTTTCTCGTCCCAGTACAACCGCCGCTCTCCCTCCCGCCGCACGCCGGTGCCCAGCCTCGCCGAGCTTCCGTCTCTGAATCCCGGGATTTGCGCGGGGATTCTGGGCGGCCTCTGAAGGGAGGCTGCGGCGCAGCTTCCCCGCGAGGTCGCCGCGCGCAGTCTTGAGCCCTCCTGGCTGTAAGGCCCTGCCCCTAGGGGCACGAGTCTGATTTTGCAGGGATGATTTTGTAGAAATTGTGTGCCTTCCGTGAGCGGCGAAAGCAGTGTTCCCATAAACTGGAGAGGGGGCTTTTCTACCCCTCCCAACGCAGTATCTAATAAAGACATCATTCTTCAGAACCCTAAATTAAAGTGAGCCCGACCAAACCGGAGGGAGACCCGCACAGCCCTCCCCTACCCCTCGGGGGCGTCCCCTCTTCTTTCCTAGAGTGTCGAACGTTCCCTGACGGGTCCCCCACGTCGCCCAGCCTCCTGGCTCTCTCTGCCAGACGTAAAATAAAAGTCATATCCTAAAGATACCTATGAATACGCACAACTTCGTTGTGTTCCTCCCTCCTCCACCCCCAAAGTTGCCCTTGTCCCTCTGCCCGCGACAAAAATGTGTAGGAAACTACTTTCTCAATCGATTTTTTAAAAATACAACATCCTTTTCTCCATGTTGTAACGATTTATGTGGCAAATAAATCTCCAAAATGAAGATCAAATGAAGCTTTCCCTCTGATTCGTGCTGGAGGAACAAAGACCAGCCGGCTTTGCCGCCTGCGGGAAAGCGCTGCGGTGGGCGCTCGGGCAAAAGCTAGCGGAGGCCAGGGCGTGTTTCCAGCACCCACTCCTCTTTTCAGGGGTCTTACCGGCTAAGGGCAGGCCAGCCAGCCGTTCGGGCTCGGCAGCAAAGAAACAAATAATCCAACTCCTTTGGCGACTACCGCCCGCGAATTTTCAGGCCCTCAGCTAAATCTAGCTAGCCAGAAAGAAGAAATGGGAAATAAAGAAATCAACCCAGACGCCCCCAGGGAGGCCAGAGTAGGCGCGCGGGAACTCGATACCTTGATGGTGGTTTCGGGCAGGTTGAGCGCAGCGGCCAACTCGCACCGGCGCGGCCGCGACACGTAGTTCTCCCGGTAGAACTCTTTCTCCAGGCGCGCGATCTGTTCGCGAGTGAACGCCGTCCGGTAGCGCCGCACCTGATCCGCGCCAGAGCCGGAGCCCCCGAGCGCCGTGCCCGCGCCACTGCCTCCGCCGCCGCCGCCGCCTCCATGCAGGCTGCCCAGGCCCGAGCCCGACGCCGACGTCGTGGTGCCGGCAGCCGAGCCGCTCTCGGAGAACCCTAGCAAACAAACGGTGGAAAGTGCATGAGTCTCTGTAGCGCCCAAAGCCCTGCGCGTGGAAGGGGAGAACGGCGTCGCTCAGGAGAGTCGCTGCTGGAATGGCTGGAGTCTGTCGCGCTTATAAATTGCTGCCGTTAATGAAATCAATAAAGTTTGGGGAGCCCTTCATAACCGATAATAGGAACTGAATCGTGGAGGGTTTGGCGGTTTTGAACAATCGGAAATTTTCAAGCGGCCTGAAAATCGGCCGAGGGAAAATGCCTACTTTCGGGGCGCAGTTTGTTTCTGGCCTCTAACCTTTCTTTTGGGTTTGGCTACTATTTTAAGGTTCGAAACACAGCAGCGGCTCAAACTAGAGCCTTTAGTGGGTGGAATCTACGTTTCATCTCTGTGTACGTGTGTCGCTGGACCAAGGGTCCAGCAGAGGCGCGCCTGGCGAGGCTCCCTCCGACTTACCCACAAGAATGCCCCCTCCATCTGACCCCGGGGGCTCAGAGGCGGCGGAGTTCAGAGTAGTCGCCCACGGACCCTTCCCAGGAGCAACTCAGCCGCCGGCTGGAAGTCTGTCGGCTCGCCAGGGCATTTAAACCCGAGCACACAAACATCTCTCGGACTCATTGCCAGAGCCGGCAGGCCTGGCGCCCTCGGCTCCTCGGGCCTGGGCGGCCCTGGGAGGTGGCACAGCTCAGGACCTGAGGGCAAGGTCCCTGGCGCGAGTCCCGCCCCTGCCTGAGCCAGCGATGTCCGGCTCGCTTGCGAAGGGTCGGAGGGGCGCAAAGGCACCGGGAAGGGCTGGCGGAGGGGGGTTGGGGGGCGCGGTGATGCCAGGAGGATGGGACTGGAGGGCGCGAAGCGGGCGGCACCGTTACCTTTGCCATTGTTTTCCTTAAGCGGTGTGGCGCCCAGGCCGCCGGGGGAGCGCAGCGCGGAGCAGCCCACCTCCACGTCGCTGCTCATGTCGGCCTCGGCGGCCGTCTCTGAATAATGACCCGGCTTCTTGCGGCTCTCTGTGGCGGAGGCGATTTCGGCGGAGACGGTGCTTTCGCTGCCCGGGTGCTGCAGGTTGAACAAAGTATCTATTTCGAATTTGCCCTTGGTGGGGAGGTCTCCCAGAGCGCCATGCAGGGGGGCGGACGGCAGGCGCGGGCTGAGCCGAGCCGGGTGCTGCGAATTTTCCAGGGCCTCGAGCACAGCATTGCCAGGAGTGTCGGACAAATTGGAGAACCTCTTGCCGGCCGTGGGGCTGTGCAGCCCTCTCTCCATCAGAATCATCTCCTTTCTTATTCTCTCCATCATCTCAGCTTTCTAAAAAATGTCACAGTGGCCCGGCTGTCCCGTCCTAACGATGGGCTGCGCCTGGGGCTAATTCTCATTCAGTCCCAGCGAGCGCCTCTAAATATTATTATCTCTTTTGGAGGGAGGCGGAAAAATTGTGGGATGCCAGAGCGAGGGAATGACTGGTCAAAATGACCCATACATCCTTCCGAGCCCGAGATGTCATTCATCAAAAAGTAGCGCCCGCTCGTCATTAAGGTACGAATGACGCCGTTCGAATAATCATTTATTGTAACAGGTTTATAAGCAAATAAATACAAGCTCCTGTCAGTGGGTAATGAAGACGGCTTCAGAGCAGACAAATAGATCCAGGTAGGAGGCGAGAAGAGACAAGAAGTGAGGAAGAAGGCTCCGGTCCTTCGCCCGCTCCGAGCCGGTTCTGCTCGCCCGGGGGTTTGGCCTCGGGGGTGAAATTGACAGTCTGATTAATAGAGCGCGCCGCGGCACATTTCCCCCTTCATTTAGGGGCATCATTACGCTCGCAGTTTGCTGGGTTGCCCCTTAGGTCCTAATCATGCAGCTCCTTCCTCATTTTTCCTCGGACACAGATACGTGTTAAATAATAGATAATGCTTTGATTTTTCCAGAGTAGATCCTCGCGATGGATTAAAAAAAAATTTACAAGCTGGGGGCGTGGGGGGGGGGCAGGGGGAGGATGCAGGAAGAGTTGCGTAAGGAGACCTTGCGCCGCTTCTGTCTGGATCAGTTATCTCTCGGTTTTCAGAACCAAATATGTATTTTAGTTAACAAATAGGACGCTGAGTTTTCTCCCTCCCTACTTCTTCGCCTCAATACTCAGAGAGAGAGAGGAGAGGAGAGAGAGAGAAAGAGACAGGAGAAACTGGGAAACAGAGGGAGGGAGAGAGAGAGAGAGAGAGAGAGAGAGAGAGAGAGAGAGAGAAACTCCTATCTCATAGAGTTTTGAAAGCGCTTTCTTGCTACGTGGCCGGGGAGGTGCGTTGGACCCGCGCCTCCAAACGGAAATCATTAGATCTTCTCTGATTTTCTAACAGTTTACAGAATGAGCTCTGAACTCGAAGTCCCCGGTTTTTCACTTTTATAATCCTGCTGATGGATAGGCTTCTCTCCTACGCATTTTCCCTGGGGGAAAGGAACTAGGCTGGAGGAGAGCAGAATTCGACAGCTAACTTTAAACACAGCCGCGATTCACAGCGCCACACGGGCCGCTCCAAATCCACTTTGTACGTGGCTAGCACCCCCCCTTCCATTATTTGCGGCAAAGTAGCCGATTTCGAGGTCAAAGGGGGATAAGAGGCTCGGCCTTGTTCCCCGGCCACCCGCTGCCTCCCTTGCCCTCCTCACTCTCCGTGCTACTCTGGCCTCGCGTCCTTACCTGTGGCCCTGGGTAGTCCCAACGCTGAGTCCGGGCGCAGAGAGTCGCCGACCGGCCTGACTGCGGCTCCTTGCGGCCTGAGCTCGGCGGCTGAGCCTCTTAGCGATAACTTTGATAGTCATAATGACGCCGGTGGCAACCATTTTAACGAAGATCAATCTTCACTCAAGGCCGCTCCTCATCTCCTCGCGCGCTTGCGCCCCACCCTGCCCAGAGCCCCGAAGCGCCGAGCCAGCCCGCCCACCAGCAGCCCAAGAGGCAAAGATCCGCAGACGCGGGCGGGGACCCGGGAGCACCGGCGCGGAACGCGGAGGTCGGCCCGCGCGCTTCCGAAGCGGCCGTGAGACCCTGGCGGTCTGGGCTCCGGGCGCGGGTCCCGCATGCCGCCACGGCGCCAACCCAGACCCCACAAGGGGCCCCCTCTTTCCCTCCCTCCCTCCCTCCCGACACACCCAGCGCATCGGGGTGTATTAGGGGCAAACCTAGGATCCCTTTGCCCATCTGTCTGTTGGCGCTTTCCTTTTAACCTTGAGCCCGTTGGGGGCGCGTCAGGAATGTAAGGGGAGGCGAGGTGTGAAGTATATGTATATACATATATACACATCTATAGTCAATGCCAAGAGTTTCTCTCCTGTTCCCCTCGGCGCTAACTTATTTCAACAACGCGAGCTGTGCTCAGAAAATCAATTCCACCTCTTTACTGCAATAAATGGAAAGCTCTATAGGCACGCACTGGCTGGGGGGAGGGGGGCGTTGTGGCACCGGGACTGGCCCTCCTCTGTTCCTGCCGGGGTGGCTGTCTGGCCCCAGCAACTCTGCGCGCTCCTTATGCCACTGTCGGACCGTTCCTATCACCGGAGGCCGGCCCTGCAGATGCCCCCACCTGCTCCCTCTCAGCTCCGCCCAGTTTCACCTTTCCTGGCGGTCGCTGCCGCCCCGACACGGAAAGGTATCCCTCCCCTAGCCATTCCTCTTTCTCTCCGAATACTGGATCGGGGACCCTGGTGCAGGCGCCGGTCCTTGGGGACCAAGGCGCTTGGCAGGGGTGGGAGGCAAGCTGAGGCGCTGCCGGGCGGAAATCCGCGGATGCCTTTATCGCTGTCGTTTGGCGCCCCCGTCTGTTTTCCTCGCGGTTTAGGCGACTGTGAGCTGTTTTTCAATCGCGGAGGACTGGGGTACAGACGACCCCCTTGCTCTATCACCCAGCCCGCGGGTCTCCCACTTCCTCTCTTCCTTTGGGATCTGGCGCTGCAGGTCCCAAAGACTGCGCCAAGCCGGACCTCAGTATGTTAAAGAGAGAAAACACCATTTCTCGGCGACGCTTTGATTCATGAGTCGTTTTGAAAACTTTCGCACTTTTTAAATAACGCCAATCCCGCATTTCCAGCAGGTTTATTACAAAAAGTGCACCGGGGGCCATGTCAGGGAGATTTCTCACAGTAACACACCTCTGATTGTTCCTTCAACTGTGTTTAGCTGACAATAACCTTTCCTGAGGCACAGTGAACACTGTGAACATTCCATTTCAATATTCGATGTCCCTTAAAGTGTTTGGATTCCACACTTCGCTAACCTATGCAACGCTCTTACTATGCAACTGCTTGAGCTTTCAAACGTTGCTGTCTGGTTCAGAGATCACAGCAACCCTGGGAGAGGGCCTCAGCTATCCCTTTGACACAGGGCCTCCGGGACTTGCTCCCGCTTTTAAACCTGTCTCTGACAACAAACATCCCAGTCCCAAGGCCGCAGGTTTTGGGCGGCTCTTCTTGTTGTTTTTCTCACTTTGCGTGTCTTGTTTAAAAGCAGGCCTACCTGGAGAGCAGGAACCCTTTGTTGAGAAGACGTGAGCAGGTGGCAGCTCCGTCCACGTTTACCGATGAAAACACCCAGCCTTTGCAGCCTCTCCCAGCATGTGGGGGCTGAACCGCAGACTGGCCGGCCCAATGTCCCCAGTGTTTATACGCGCCCTCTGGAGCTCTCAGGGCCTCCTACTGTCAACCGGGCAGGGCCCACGCAATAAAGCAAGACAAGAATCCAACCGACGCCTCGTGGGCCACGGTAAAGATTTCCTGCACATGACGCGAAAAGAGCACGTTTTGCTCCAAGGGTGACACAAAGGAGGCCTAATTTTTCTCGCTTAGGCCTGCACATTCCGTATTTGCTTCCTGAGTGGCGGCGGGTGCTCTGAGGTGACGTGGTAAACCCTATGGCCTGAGACTGCAGGGAACAAAACGGTCCCGTACGCAGGCGACAGGCACTGGCGGCGCTGCTACAGAGGCCCCGGGGCCGCCACGACCCGGACCTTCGCTTTCGCGAAAGGGCTCAGGGCGACTGGGCCACCACCCCGCGGGCCCGCGGCGGGACGCATGCTCACTCAGTAGTAGGGCCTATGGGGGGCGGCGGGACCGCAGGGCTGCCAAACTGAGCGCGGTACCCACCGCTGAAGCTTTCGGTTTATAAGGGAAGACGCAGGTTTGTCGACGCCAGGCCTGGCTGCGCACTGGCGGTTCACGCGCCCACCCTCGGGCGAGTCGTTCTCTCCCAGCCTCCTCTGGGTCTCTGCTTGCTTCTCTCTCCTTGGCCAGCGACCCTGCGCCCCCCGGGGACGTTCTGGGTGAGGGATTGGGTAGGCACTTCCTCGCTGAACTCTTGTGGCTACGCAGACCCGCCTTCTCTATGGAGCTCGGGAGTCCTGAGCGCGACCGGAAAACTTGCAGGGACATCTAGCGCCAGGCGCGGGGAACTGCGCGCCTCCGGGCGGGGAAGCCGCGCACAACCGCACGCCGCCTCCGCCTGGCTCTCAACGCCCACTCCGTGCCTAAGCACTTCCTACCCCTCACCCCTTTGCCTGGCCTGTGAGCACGGCGTGGATTCCCCCTGGAGACAGAGGGCTCTGCGGAATGGATACAGGTAGACACACTGGTTTCTTTCATCTCAAACAGTCGGCAGAGTGAGCATTTTCCTGGACCTTAAGCTGGCGACAGTTTTGTTAAAGAAGTGTATTTGGAGGATAACCCGACACCTTGAGATGTCGAACAAAACAGCAAATTGCAGTCGCAGCTTTTATTTTCCTAAAAAGGAAACAAATTACCCGGGTTCTCTGGCTCGGGGCCCTCCCTTCCCCATACCCCCTGCGCGGTGAGACTGGCGCTTCTCTTACCGGGAACACGCTGCTTAACTCCCCCCTCAGCCCTGCGGAGTTCTCTCCATCGTAGGCAAGGGCCTGCTGCTCCGCGGGAGGCTAGCCTGATTTCACCGAATTCCACTTCGGATTTGAAGAGGGTTTTGTTGTTGCTGTGGTTGCAAAGGACTGCCATTTGATAAAGGCTAATTTGGGCTGTTAAACTCAAAGGCGATGCATCTTAGTCGTAGGAAATACCCAAATGCAGGTTTCCAGTGTCAGGCTGTTGTCACACCAAGCTTCTCGGGTTTTTTTTGTGCAGCACAGCACTAGGAGAGGGAAAATTAACCAGACACGGGCCGGGTTAAGAATACTGTTCAGCCAATTCCTCTGGACTCAAGACTTCACTTTGGAGCTACAACTGTTTCTACACTGAATATCTTGCTTCTTACAAGCTAATTAGGAGGGTGTCCTGCACTTCCTGGTTGTGACCTTCAAGGCAAATGCTTTCAAAGGAGTCCCCACGACCCCACTTGGATAGGATCCTCTCGCCCTGGCCTTAATGGCCACTGATTATGTGGTTAATTGAGCTCATTGCTGTCTTGGCAAGCACAGCAACTTCCATAAATCTAAATCACAGCCTGCATCCACCCAGTCCCCAACCCAAGTTGAACACAAGTTAAAGTTCATCTACAAGGAGAAGAGAGGATGCGACCTGCAGAACAGCACTAATTCCCAGCCAGGGTGCTTTTGGAGGAAAAAGAGGAAGAGGAACAAGTTGATGAGGGAGTAAAGTGGGACTTTGACCACTAAAGGGTCATCCTGAGGAGTTGTTTTGTTTTTACCAAAAATCAGGAAAGGTGGCGAAACTGGCTTCATAAAACCTATGAGTGTGTAGAGACATTTGTGGTAGCAAAAGATTTTCATGTAACAAAACCTATTTCTGCCATTAAAGACCCAATATGATAAACCCGTGTGCTCCTGGTCAGCTAAAGAAATGACTCCCATCAAGATTAAATCTGAAATCAGTTCAGATGCGGGGAAGACAAGCTAAATAAAATGTTGCTGTACATCCCCTTCAACAGTCCACCTCCACCTACCTGCTGGCCCTCAGCTTATTAACTGTGTGTCTCATTAGTTCAACAAGCAGCTCTGTGAGCTGATAACAGTGGCTGCCCCAGAGTGCTGGGTTTAGGGGTCCACTCAGGGGCAGAGGCCCTCTCCTCAGGATAGCCATCTCCCACTAGCATGTGCTAGAAGCAGGTTTAGCATCAGGATAACAAGAGGCAAAGCTGCCTATTATTCATAACCTCCCTAGTCCCTGAACACCCACCGAGGTGGGCAGAGAAACCCAAGTCCTGAGAAGAGCACACAGGGCAGAAGCAAAGTCTGAAAAATGAAAGTCTCGGTCAAGTGGAGAATTAATTTAGCTCTTCCTCTCAGCCCTGCACAGCACAAGCAGGGAGCTCCCTGGAATTAGCAAAACTTGAGAAATTCTTCTTTTGCGTCTTAATTTCACTTTGCTTATGCTTTAGTGTATAATTGGTCATAAAATGTATTTATCAGAAAGTAATGGAACAAAAGTTCAAGGGCATAAAACCATGGGAATACTTAGTTTTAAGAGACAGAAAGTTCGTTGGATCCAATTGTCTTAAAAATATTTCAACAAAGATTTTTTGGCTCACAGATAAAAACTTTAATGTATCTCCCTTCTCCACCCCCCCAAAGAGAGAGAGAGAAGAAAAAGGAAAAATTAAAGCATTTCAGGGTGGCCTATGGTAGATGGTTTGGCACAAAATTTTTGGGTACAGGGTACCCAGCCAAACCAAAGCTCTCACCTGGCCTAATTTGGCCTTTTGAAAACACCAGCCCAGCTTCCATTGCTAACTCTTGCCACCTTCCATCAAGTGGTCAAAAGGACTCTCACCAGCAAACCCGTTCCCTGAGATTTCCTGCACAGCCCAGACCCTTCCCGGCTCAGATTTGATCATGAACATGTCTAGGACTTCAAAAAGGTCAAATTCTCTTGCTTTTCCTCTCCAGCACTCCTCTCATAACTTTCCCCTTTATTTGAGCCTTTTATGGTTACTGCCTTTTGCACGTCAACACTCCCAACACCAGCGGCAGCCCACCTTGCCATGCCAGGACAGGCCCAGGAAGGGCTCCTGGCTTTCCTCCTCCACCTACGCGGGACCTGCCTTGGGTTTGGGAACCGCGGGGCTGGGTGACAAGCTGGCTTCACCAATCCATCACAGGCTTAGGGGACTGGTTTTCTTGGAGATAGGCTGGCCTGAGAAGTAGATGCCACAGAAGCAAATGGGCTCACTCTGAGGGCTCTCACACCCACCCCAGTGCCCCTTTCGCTCGCTCATCGGATCTCGGCTCTAAGATTGCTGCTGCTAAGGCAGAGCCTTGAAGTCACAACAGGGCTCACACAGTGCCCCGGTAATTGCTAAGATGGGAGCGGGATCGATCGTGGGCTGAGGCTCTGAGATGGAGGAGTGGCAGGAAGGCGTGAGGAGAGCAACGGGCTCCAGAGCTGGGCCTAGCCTCAGCAGCGCGGCCGCAGCCCACCCTACCCCGTCAAAGTCAGATGTTAGGCTTTGCCTAACACAAGCCCCGACTTTTTCTCGGAGAAGGCGCCCTTAATTTGCCCCCTTTCGATTCCCTGCAGTTGGCAGCTCAGAAGAGGCAGCGAAACAAAATCACTGGGAAAGTGAAGTTTTCAATTAATTGGTGTGAGTAACGGCTGGGGGTGGGTGGTGGCAGCAAAACCAAGAGACCAGGCGGCCGCGCGCGAGGCGCAGAAGCTCCGCGGCAGAAGGCAGAGCGGTTTTCTCCTCCTGCCCTCTTCTCAGAACCTTTCTACCGGAGCTGGGAGCCCAGTTCGGGGGGTGACTGCCGGCTGGCCCAGGCGAAGAGGCGGAGAATGCGGAACAGGCATCCACGGATTTCTCCCTGCGGGGCAAACTGTCAGGCTCACCGCGCCGAGGTCGGATCGTCTCTCTGCTCGACTTACTCGGAAGTCTCTGCCGCTTCGTGGGTATTTTCGGGCGGACGGCGTGTGTGCACGGGAGGGGTCTGCTGCAACTGGTCTTATACGTGGGAAATGCCTTCGCCCGTTAGCAATGCGCAAGAGAGGGAAAGCCAGCTCCCTCGGGCTTGGGGTCTACTGTCGGCTGACCGCGAGCTGCAACAGCATCAGACACGGGTGTGTTTTCACATAACTCAAACAGCTCTGTCCTTCATCTGCATTTTGTTGTGCAGCTCGGGGAGCCGAGGAGAGGTGGCAAAACAGCCGTTGCCGAGATGAGGCGCAGGCCTCGGCTCCCGCCTCGGTCACAGACAGGGCCTGGGATGGGCCGTCGCGAAATCGACTCGTGGGGGTGGCTGCGGCGAAAGCGCCTGGGTCTGGGGGAGGGCGGGAATGGGAGGTGGGCCGTGCACAGGGCTGGGGAGGGGTGGGGGCCCGGTGGGTGGGTCCAGCCAGGCCCAGGCCAGGAGCCAGGGTCCCCCGCGCCCCCACCCCCACGTGGCTCTGCGCAGCCAATGGCATGGCCCCCGGCCGGCGCCCTCGGGGCGGGAGGCGGCCCCCCGACCGGCCCAGGCCCCCTCCCAACCTGAACTTCGTTTTTATAAACGTCCCGCGATGAGCTAACCTGTTGGAGGGCGGGCGGGCGGGCGGGAGGCGGGAGGCTCGCAGAGGGAGAGAGGGCGAGAGGAAGAGGGCGGGAGCGAGCAAACCAGAGAGAAAGGAGAGGAGGGAGGAGGCGCGCTGCGCCATGGTGTCCTGCGCGGGGCCAGGGCCGGGGCCGGGGCCGGGCCGGGCCGGGCCATGAGCCGCTCCGGGAGCTGGGACATGGACGGGCTACGCGCGGACGGTGGGGCTGCGGGGGCAGCCCCGGCCTCCTCTTCCTCCTCCTCCGTGGCGGCGGCGGCGGCGCCGGGCCAGTGCCGGGGCTTTCTCTCCGCGCCAGTGTTCGCCGGGACACATTCGGGGCGGGCGGCGGCGGCGGCAGCGGCGGCTGCGGCTGCGGCCGCGGCCTCGGGCTTCGCATACCCGGGGACCTCTGAGCGCACCGGCTCCGCCTCGTCGTCGTCTTCGGCTGTGGTCACGGCGCGCCCGGAGCCTCCCCCCGCCAAAGAGTGCCCGGCGCCCGCGCCCGGCGCCGCCGCTGCAGCAGCGCCCCCCGGCGCTCCAGCGCTGGGCTACGGCTACCACTTCGGCAACGGCTACTACAGCTGCCGGATGTCGCACGGCGTGGGCTTACAGCAGAACGCGCTCAAGTCGTCGCCGCACGCCTCCCTGGGGGGCTTCCCGGTGGAGAAGTACATGGACGTGTCGGGCCTGGCTAGCAGCAGCGTACCGGCCAACGAGGTGCCCGCGCGAGCCAAGGAGGTGTCCTTCTACCAGGGCTACACGAGTCCCTACCAGCACGTGCCCGGCTATATCGACATGGTGTCCACTTTCGGCTCCGGGGAGCCTCGGCACGAGGCGTACATCTCCATGGAGGGCTACCAGTCCTGGACGCTGGCCAACGGGTGGAACAGCCAGGTGTACTGCGCAAAGGACCAGCCACAGGGGTCCCACTTTTGGAAATCGTCCTTTCCAGGTAGGGGTGATGGAGAAAAGGGAAGGACAGGGGGAAGGGGTGGGGAGAGAGAGGGAGAGAGAGAGAACAGACTAGAAGCATACACCCCTACTTGGAAATGGGTGCCTGTGCTCCACGCCTGAGCAAGGTTCACCCAGTGGAACAGTTTGTCCAGTTCGTGTGAAATCTGTAAACTCCTCCTTCCACTTAAACTGCTGCGCTCACAACCTTTCCTTGCGGTCTTCTACAGCCGGGAGTCTTTGTGTCTGTCCCCTTTGCTCAGGTCTCTCCTTCCCTTCCTAACGGGGCCTTTTTCTTGGGAGGGGTCATGGGGTTGAGCCCCCATTTTGTGAGGAATTCATGGCTCCTGGGTGGCCGCTAAAGCTTCTTAGAGCCCATAAGCTTCAAATACAGATAATCAAAGCTCAGCAAAAGATGTGAATTTGTGGGTGTGTGTGTGTGTTTATATGTATGCAAGTGGCATTTGCAGACATTGTCCTTATGAGTGTCCCCAATAACCATGCCATAAAATCACAGGCTTGTTAGATGCTAGTTTGAGAAACCATGATGATCCATCAAATTAGCCTTGCATTTGAAGTAAAAATAATCTTTCTTTAATAACATGTAAACACAATGTTTTGTAAATAATTAAAAATGTAAACAGATTTTCTTTATTCCCTACACTCCCTACACACACACACACACACACACACACAGAATCCTCAGCTAAGTGCTCCTACTATCCCAGTCTAACTTCTCCCATGCTGTTGTTTGTACCAGGGGATGTGGCTCTAAATCAGCCGGACATGTGTGTCTATCGACGGGGAAGAAAGAAGAGGGTGCCCTACACCAAACTGCAGCTCAAAGAACTGGAGAACGAGTATGCCATTAACAAGTTCATTAACAAGGACAAGCGGCGGCGGATTTCGGCTGCCACAAACCTATCCGAGAGACAAGTGACCATTTGGTTTCAGAATCGAAGAGTGAAGGACAAGAAAATTGTCTCCAAGCTCAAAGATACTGTCTCCTGATGTGGGCCAGACTGGCTGTAGATAGTTTAAATGCCTTTACTCGTCTCCAAAAGACCTTGGGAAAGACTTGAATATGTATTTAATGCCCCACATCCCCTGCCAGTGATGGCAAATTTTGTGAATTGTTTTTCTCTCTTTTCCTTATCTGGCTCTGAAACCTTTTGCTGCCCAACCTGATTTTGTAGCTCTGTTCCTTACATGTTTATTATTGATTTTGTTTTTGTCCAGGTTTTTTGTTTGTTTTAATGATTTTTTTAGTGTTCTGTTTCTCCCTCCAGGCCAGTATAAAGGACTTGAAGTATTTTTTTTTTAATAATCCTCCTTCCCCCAAAGAATTTCAGAAGTGCCATTCTGATTTAAGGATTTTTTTTTAAAATCTGTTTCCAGCACTGATTATCTTCATAATCCATTAGGGCAGAACGATTTGCAGTCATTCATATCCTGTGATTGGGTAATTGAATCATTAGCTCTCAGCAGTTGCCCTGAGGCAAGTGGAAACAGCTCTGGGCTGGCAGTGCTCTGGGGTCACCAGGAAAGTCTGAAAGCAGGAGGCTGCCGGTACAGCAATGGCTTTAAAAGCAGCAACCTTATTAAAGTAGAGTTTGTATCAGTATTGGAATGAAGACAATCTTTCCAAGTCCAACTTTCACTTGTGTTTGTTATATATTGTTAAGACAACTGTAGATTTGTGCTTCTATCTTTAATTTGAAAATATGTTCACATAGATGCCTTCATTTTTTGAGCTCTAGAGGCAGACATTTAAATGGTGCAACTGGCAGAGTGACCCGTGGGTGGTGTAAATGCACCCTATTTCCTTGGTCTTGGATCTGTAGGAATGGGATGGAGGCCACCTCAATCCCCCAAACAGACTGAATCACATGGCCATGGATACAAACTTTTGTCTAAAACCCAATGAAGAGCTTAGCTGTCTGAACAAATGCATCAGGCCTCATATGGAGCTTTAAAACACCTAACAAATGCAAAAAACGTGGCGCTCACTATAGGGTCCAAGGAGAAAAAAAGAAAGATGTTTCTGAAAGTGATGATAAGTAACTACTTTTTAAAGTGCTGCATATTTATACAACTGAGAGATTATTTTTGTAGTTGCAATGTCTGTGAGCTGGGATATGTGGGCAGTGCTTCAGGCATTAAAAAAATCACTTTTTACTCCTAGGGAGATGCAAATAAACAGAACTGTCTCACTCTCTCATTTCCTGTGAGTCTTCATAGATTTGTTTTCTTTTTACAAGCTTATGTGCCTCCAGAAACTCTTCTTATTTATTATAAAATCTTGCTATCCTGAACACTATGATGAAGGATACTCAACACCGGTTCTGCTTTCTGAAACCTGCACGCTCTCCACTTCTGCCCCTTCTTCCTTCCCTGTGGATTTAACATAGTGATGTTTTTAATGAGGATATGATTTGTGGCGTCTAAAATTATATTTTTATCAGACCAGATCAAAAACATCTCCAATAAAATTTTACTTCTCTTTCAACATTATCAACTCTAGTTATAGTTTTATTTGTTGTTCTAAAAGTCGGTACGGATATCTGTGTGCCTAGGTGTAGGAAAAATTATTTATTTGCAAGTTTTCAACCTAGGAAGCCATTATAAATGTCTTTACTTGGAAGGTCTTAAAATTATAAAGACATATCCTTATTTGGCAATCAAAAAAGAAATATTTCAGGCGTCCCCCATGTCTCCTTCTCTAAGCAGCCGGCACATTGCAATTGACAGCTGAAAACCCGATTACGAACGCTAAAGCGCTGGACACTTTCTAGACACTAGGAACTTTCTTCGAGGCCTTTTTACCACCCGAGGAAACCGCCGCAGAACTGGGACGTTCGTCGTCGCTGGCTCCTGGTACTGTCAGGGTCGTGGTTGGTAACTTTTTGATAGGTAACTTAGGTACACGAGGATTTTGTGGGAAAACAAAAAACAAACAAACAAACAAAAAAACTCCTCCTCGAAAACCTTGCTGTCGGAAGGCTCGGGTCCGGCTCGGCGAGAGACGGCGCGGAGAGCGGAGGCGAGGGCTGCTTTCGGTTTCTCGGGCCGGGTTTGGCTCCCTCACGTCTCGCGGCAGCCCGCGTGGGGCCAGCCCGGTTGGCAGAGACTCCGGCGCCTGTTGCTGCAGAAATGACGCCTGAGCATGCCGCCGCGCGGTCCCGACCTTCCACTTCGAGAGGGCCGCCGGTCCTTCGGCTGCGCGTCTCACAAGACGTGTTTTCACCAGAAACGGGCCTGCGCTCGGCTCTCTCCCCTTCCCCTCCCCCAGTCAGTTTTCGTCGACTCCAGACCCTGGGTCCATTTCTCAGGTTTCCCAGCGCGGGCACCGAGGGTCGCCTCGAGGTTTCCCTTTCATCTGTGGCTTCTCGTCAGTTTCCCTCCGCCTAAGAGAAAGGGGAGGTGGGCTGGAGATTAAAATTGCGCTCCAACACTCTCTGGTGGAATTCGGATTGACGGCTAAATCAATAACAGATGAAGGCTTTGTTATTTATACGCGCCCCTTTTATATTCCGAATTGCGCAGGGAGGCCAGGGGCTCCGCAGTGGCCCAGGCTCGCCGAGGGAGGCAAAGGCGGTTTGGGGGATCAGCCTCTGTGGCTGGAGACAGGAAGGCCGGAGGGAGAGCGCCTCAGAAACCTGGCAGGTTTCTAACGCCGCTGGCGGGGGACCTAGGCGCGCGTGGTCGGTGCCTGATTCGAGAGGCGCTGGAAGCCTCGAAGCCGGGAAGGAAAGCCAGACAAAGGAGTGATCACAATGCTTTTCCATGTCTGGCAGCCCACGGGCTCCCTAGGCTCCGCCGTGCGGGTCAGCCTGGCCGCCACAATCTGCAAGCTTCCCGGAGCGCTTAGCAGCGCCAGGCTGTGGGCCGTGACCGCGCGGGCTGGCGACCCCGGGCCGCCCTTCACTGTTGATCTTGACCGTGCGGCGGCGCCTCGCCAGGCGTGGAGCGCGCTCGCCATCTCCTGGGCGGTCGGCGGCATTGGCAGAGCTCAGCATTTAACTCCTCGGCCAAATCCTGCTTTCCCACTCTGGCTCGCGGGCCAAGCCTCCTTCCCGCCCTTCCCCCTCCTTCCAGGTCCCCAGCTCCCAGTTCCCCGCAGGAATCTTTGCCTGCCAGACCTCGAAGAAAGTCATAAACCCGGGGGATGAAGCAGGGCGGCTGGGCAAGGAGCTACGGAGGGAATCTAGCCGTTCTTGTCTTTTTTGTTGTCTCATGTAGTTCCTTCGTGCCTTTAAGCCCTGAGGGGCAAACAGCCGCTGTGAGTCCGCCAAGGGGTCCGAGGGAGTTGCCCCTGGGCTTAGAAACACGGGGGTTCTCTGTGCACCGAGAAGCGTGGAGCGTAGGGACCCCGTGACTGGATTTCCGGCCTGAAGAGGCTGCGGCTCCTTGGAAGCAGGGCGAATTCCCCCAAAATGAAAGCTATTGGGGACCTAAGGCCCGGTTTCCCCGTTTCTAGAAAGTGGGGTTGTAGTTTGTGCCTGCATCATGAAATGCCAGAGAATGGAGTTAAGTCTCCTAAGGAAACTGGCAGAGCCCTGAGGAGCCCTGGGCTTCCCCACCCCCACCCGCTACCCCCTCCTCAGAGCGGGAGGAAGAAGCTGATTGCATTCCCCAGAGCCGCCCAATTGGTCGCCATAACTCACACAATAAAGTCACAGCGCGGTGGTCAGCCTTGCCCTCCGGCGGCGCCTGTGTGGTCTCGGTGCCGGAGCTGGCGGTCTAACCAATTCCATCTTGGCTTGGGGACCGCGAGGCCTGCCGCGGGTTGGGGCAGACGCCCTTCGTCCGGTCTCTGGGGGCCTCGGGACCTGAGAAGGGGGGGAGGACCCCTACTCCTTTGGTAAGACTAGATAGGAGGATCTCCGGGCTGCTGCGCACACTGCTCCCCGCCAGCGACCACTACCCGTCCAGCTCCTCTGTTCGCCAGACCCGTGAACCCGCCACCAGCCCGCGCGCCGGGAGGCGCCGGGGCAAGGAACGCTGCTTGCCAGCTGCCTCGGTGCGCCTGCTTTTTTTGCGCGGCCAGGTGGCCTCTGGCTTTTCCGCTTTTCCACACGCGGTCTGGGGATCGAGCACTGTTCTGCCAGCCTCGGGGTGGATGAATACGTTGGAGTTCTGGTTTGCAGGATCAGCCGCCAAGGTGATCCTGGCGATAAAAGGAATGTAGCCTTTGGCCACGACTGGCGCATGGAGCTGCCAAGTTGCCTGGCCTGCATGCTCCATGGACCTGGATGGCAGCTTTCCTAAGGAGCAGAGTTCCTGGCCTGGGGGTGGTGGTGATGGTGAGATGCACACCAAGAGTGGTGTGAGGCCTCCTTCCTGGCTGCCAAACTTTGGATACCTTGTGATACCTCTCTGCTTTTAGCAGGTCTCTCAGGCTGTGTCTGCAGCTTGAGGACCCAAGCAGCAAGTGGATCTCTGTGGCCGGATTCCCGGGGCAGAGGCCTCAAGAGGGCCTCCATGGGAGGGATTGGGGTAGGAGTGGTGTTGCTCAGGCCCGGGAACACAGCTGGCGGCTCTGCCAGGCCGCACCTTCTCTGGACTAGGCGAGAGGCGCCCGTTACTGGAAAATGCCTCAGCAGCAACTTAAAGCTGGTAGAAACAGGCCAGGCCCAGGTAGCCTGTGGAAAACGGGATTGAAAAGCCAATGAAGATGGAGAAGAGTCCCAAGGGACACTGGGGCAAAGACCCCCTCCACCGGATGCTCCCAGCTCCCGAAGCCTGGCAGGGAAACCTGCAGGCTTCGCCTTTGCTCTACATGTCTCTGCTCAGCCGGCAGCCTCCTCCTTCGCCATCGAACATTGCGGGTGTTATCATAATACCCTGAAGGGGGGGAAAACGGGCCGGGGGATGTAGGCGGTGCTGAAATGACCGGCTTTGAAGAACCTGCAGGCAAAGTTTCGTCCAATCGCCTGAGCCTGTCCTCTTATTCCCGGTTGTAACTAAATACTGTTGCGAGCGCAGCCGAAGCCCTTTGTTGGAGATGTGTGAGCGCAGTCTTTACAGAGCGGGCTATGTGGGCTCGCTTCTCAATCTGCAGTCGCCTGACTCTTTCTACTTCTCCAACCTGCGGCCGAATGGCAGCCAGCTGGCCGCGCTTCCCCCCATCTCGTACCCTCGCGGCGCGCTGCCCTGGGCCGCCACGCCCGCCTCGTGCGCCCCCGCGCAGCCTGCGGGCGCCACTGCCTTCGGCGGCTTCTCGCAGTCCTACCTGGCCGGCTCCGGGCCTCTGGGCCTGCAGCCCCCGGGCGCCAAGGACGGACCCGAAGAGCAGGCCAAGTTCTATTCGCCGGAAGCAGCCGCCAGTCCGGAGGAGCGCGGCCGTACGAGGCCGCCCTTCGTCCCAGAGTCTAGCTTGGCCCCTGCAGCCGCTGCTCTCAAGGCCAAATACGACTACGCGGGTATGGGCCGTGCCGCGCCGGGCTCTGCGACCCTGCTCCAGGGGGCCCCCTGCGCCGCCGGCTTCAAGGAGGATACGAAGGGCACGCTCAACTTGAACATGACAGTGCAGGCGGCAGGCGTCTCCTCTTGCCTGAGACCTTCGCTGCCCGACGGTAAACGGTGCCCACGCTCCTCGGGCCGGGATGGGAGGTGGGGTGCAGGGGAGTGTGTAAAGGAAGGGGAGCTGCCGGAGGAGGTGGGGGGCGCACGGGCAGCCAACAGGGAGAGGGCTCGACTGACGGTGCGCTGGGGTTGTGTTGCAGGCCTGCCATGGGGGGCTGCCCCGGGGAGGGCCCGCAAGAAGCGAAAACCCTACACGAAGCAGCAGATCGCAGAGCTGGAGAACGAATTCCTCGTCAACGAATTCATCAACCGGCAGAAACGCAAGGAATTGTCCAACAGGCTGAACCTCAGCGATCAGCAGGTCAAAATTTGGTTCCAGAACAGGCGCATGAAGAAAAAGCGCGTGGTGCTGCGCGAGCAAGCATTAGCGCTCTACTGACCACATGCGTGGCTGTGGGCAGCCCGGGCCTGCCCTTTTGGATGGAGGCCTGGCATGGGGAGGAGGAGCTGGGGCTGGAGCTGGGGCTTTCCTCCCCCCTCCCCCATTGCCCTCTCCGCTGGTTTGTCCTCATCTCCCGCTCTGCCTGCAGCCCCAGAAGCTAGCAAGATCTAGAGATGAGACCAGTTGGGCCTCCTCGCTTTCCTCCTCTCAGAGAGGCAGATGAAGGGGCCTTCGGAAGTTGGAGTGCAACCTTGGCCTTATGGTTTCCGCGTGTGGAACTTCGGGTCACCCAAACTTACTCTTTGCTGGGACACTGCACCCAGGACTCACTTTTGCTCCCTTGTACTTGGATTTCTCTGTTTGCGCCTGGTTAGTTCTCCCTCCCCCCCTTCCCAGCCCTGACTGCATTAAGAGGCACCTACTCAGAGCTCAGAGTGGAAATGAATATAGGAAGGCCTCAGGACCGTGGAAAGGGCTGTGGATACAGCTCGGCGTCTTTGCCACCAGCCCTTTGTGGCAAAGCCAGGATCTCCAGTCTGGAGGAAGGATGGGGTGCCATCCCTCCTCGTTCCCCCCACTCACCTTTCTACCCTGGCCAATTTGGGAGGACTACAGCTGTCCTAGACCTCAGACCTCTAGAGGAAAGGAGAGGGGAGGGGCTGGGTGGCCAGACACCTTGGAATGTGGACTGGGCTGGCCCCTGCAGTTGGACAGAATGGCTCAGAGGCTTCCTTCCCAGAGAAGGGATGAGGGAGGCTCGGCCCACAGAGCAAGCTACAGTCTCCAGACAAGATTGGCAAAAATCTCCTTACTTCCAGCTTTTCACATGGGCTAAGCCCATGCATCTTGTGACTGGGCCCCCAGAGCTGAGCTCTGCTATGGGGAGCTGCTGGTCTGCTTTGAGGCTGCATTGCTCAGGGAGGTGTGCTCAGTGTCCAGGGAGTGGTGAAGAGAGTCAGGAAGGGGAAGAGGGGTCCTCCTATGCACCAGCTCTAAATATGGCCAAAGTGGCCACATGTCTTTCCTGAGTCACCTTAACAGCTACTGCAAGGAGAGGCAAAAACTCCTCCTGGAGTATCACAGGGTGGGGAAAGAGACTACGCAGATTCTCAGCGCCTGGTCACTGCTCTTGACAGAGCACACAGAACTAGAAGTTTCTCTCTCACCCTCTCCACTCCCCACCAACTCCACCAGAAGTCCAAGCACAGTGCCCCTTCTGTAGCATGTATGGTGCTGCACCAGTGGAGCCTTCAAGGCCCTGGGCCCTGCCAGGCTTGCCTTGTGAAGGCCGGGGCTCCGGAATGCCAGGGGGAGCTGCTCTGGGCATGCTAGGGTATCCAGCCTTCATTTCACCTACTCCATTGCCCTCTCCCAACTCTGACTTCTTCTACTACCCCAGCCTCTTCTCCCACTCCTTGTGAAATATAGCAAGATACACAACAACCAAAGAGTTCAGATTCCTTCCCAGAGACCAGTGGTTTCTTTTCAGTGGGAAACCAGAGCCTAGAGCTGGAATGAACACCTCACAGGGAGACTTGAGCTCAAGAGTTCAAAGGATCTCAGTTGACATTTAGACTGATTTCATTTTCTGTGCTTTCTAATAGTCGTCGTGCATGTTTTGTTTTGATTTTGTCAAAAACAATGGCTTGTATATATCAGACACATAGAAATGTTTTGAGTGGAAATAAATATCCAGGTCCCAGCCAAGCTCTCAAGGGCCTGATGTCAGTTTTTCAAAATGCTTAGAGTTCCTTCCTGATGTTTTTCAGGCCACCAAATTCGTTTTTCTTTCCTGGTTGTGGTTTCACCTTGGCTGTTGACTGTTCATTAAATGAGAAAATGGCTTCCAAGGCAGTCAGGAAATGGTGTATAAAAACCCATGAGCAAAATGTGTGTGACAAATCCAAAGGGGGAAGGTGGTGGGCAGATCTGAGTGTGTCTCACATAGGAAGGGGACCCCCGGCTTATGGCAGGCTGCAGCTTCTGCACTTTGCCTAAATTCTCAAACTTTAAAGGTTGTTATTATGGGGCAGGGGCTGCCAAGATTTGAGTTTCCTCAGATTTCAAAGCAAAACATGTCTCTGCTGAGTTTTGGTCAAACTTCTGTGGAACAGGCTATGCCCTGTGAAAATCTGTAATATTCGAACCCCTCGCCGGAGCCCGGCAGACTCTCCATTGGGAAACATGGCCTCCAAACCCCTTACAGCTTCAGAGGCACTAGCTCAGGCCAGGGAATCCAAGGCCTGTTCTGTGTTTGTCCTTTTACAAATCCTAGCTCCCTAGCTAATGGAAGCAGAAACTAGTTTTTAGTTAAAGGGTAAATTAGCAAAATTGCTAAATCTCTAATACTTAGTACTGCATATTCAACATTCCAACTCTTTCCTTGATTAAATTTAAGGTATACTTAAATATAATTGCTCTTTTAAAAATACATATAAAGTAAATAACATACAAGGAAAAGGCAAGATGAAAGACTGGATAGGGCCTGTGGCTAGAAATGTTCCCTGACGTTGCTGGGGGCAGAGACACAGTGATACCCAGAGCCAGAATCTGAGCCTGTATTCAGAGGATTGCCTCCTGGAAAACAGCGAACAAAGGCAAAGCCTCACTGAGACTTCGGACCCGAGAGCTGGGGAAAGGAGGAGAAAACCAAACTTCAGCCTAGGCCCTGGGACAACACACAGAAGGCTGGGCCCTCTTCCCCCAAATATACCATTACATCCAGGTGCTCTCTCCCCGTAGCCTGGGATGGGGTGTGGGAAGAGACTTAAATTACTCCAAGCGTAAAATCTTGTCTTTTGGTTCAGCCATGTTTTACAAATCCATCACCTTTACTCATCCACACAAATCCAAAGACAGCAGTGACTCCTTTCCTAGCCGGCAGTGCCTCCTTTCCTAGCCGAGGTCGTGGCAGGGATGTGGAGCCAGAGGAAATTTGTAAGAAACAAACGGCCGAGAGAAAGGATGCTGAAATCTCAGTGCTCCAGGTTCCCTCGCGGAGAAACAAATGCGTCTTCGGAAACGCTGCAGTCCAGGAGAGGCTTTTGGCTAAGAAAATGGTTTTTAAACGAGAAGGAAACGTTTTCGTCTGGCATTCAATCGGTGACGAGCTCAGAAGGTCGACTAGTGGAAGCTTTTTAAGGCCTGGGGGTTCTCCCCCAGGGAGGCAGGCTGGGGAGGCTTCCGGGATGCTGGCGGGCGGAGGAGAAATCCAGAATCCTTGTAAATATTCATGTCCGTTGTGGGGGGGGGAGGGGTTGTGCCCCATCACCCGCCTCTCCCTGCTGCATCCACCCCCTCAGTGTTGGGGGGAGGGGGCGCGGCGCCTGTCCGACTGTCCTTGGACAAAGGTGATCTCCCCACATTTTTGTTCTCCAGGCGTTTGACTCAAGGAGCCCATTCCGAAGGCTCTGCAGGGAAGGGACTGGCTCCGGGTGTTTTCCCCACGTTTCTCTTCTTTCGTTTCCTAAAAGAGCATAAATAATTAAAGTTTGGCAGGGAGGAAAAGCTTTCTTGCAGAACTGTAGTGGCAATAAATGAAATGAGTCAGAATCCCTTCCCAGTCAGCTTTTACGAGAGCTGCCAGACAGTGTCTGTTCACGTTCTCCAGATACCAGGGGCGCCCTGACAAAGTTAAGGTCAAGTTAGTGTCTTATCTTGGGTGGCTCAAAATTACCGCATCCCGTTCCGGCGCGGCGCGGATAGCCATCGCTCCTGGAGCTGCCGGCTGCGCCCCGAAGGCCTGGTGCGATCCCCGCGCTTCGGGTGGGGCTGCACAGGCGAGGACAAGGCCACAGCGCCGGGGTCTTTACGGTAGGTTCTCGAGCGGGACGTGCGGGGCGGGAGGCTGCGGTTTTCCCCGGATTTCGGGGTGAGGACGGGGGAGGGGGCTGAGGTCAAAAAAGCGAAGCGGGCTGGGCCCCCGAATGAAAGTCCTGGGTCGTGTTAGGGAGCAAGGGTCCGTGCTGAGGCACGGAGAGGGTCCCACCGCCCCCTTCCCCTCTGCACCCGCGCGCCGCTGCAGATGGCGCACCCTCCCCCGCCAAAGCTCAGCTCCCGCCGGAGCCGCCGTCGCCATGTCGTTGAACTTGAATGATTCGTCCTCCCCAGTTCCCTTTTCGGCGGTCAGCAGGCTTCACTTTGGGGGCGGCGGACTGCCTGCGCCCCACCCCGCACAGTGAACAGAGAGAAGGTGCGAGATTTTTGTGCACCCTGCAACCACAATAAAGACTTGGCTGGGGGCCCCGCCGCTGCCCTGGGTCCTGAGCGACTGAAGGGCCAGTGTGCAGTGTCCGGGGAGCCATTTTAGGAGAGAGATCCGGGGCGTCGACCACGAGTCCGAAGACAGAGGCTTGGGCCTGGGATGGAGATGGGGAGGCAGATAAGTGTGCCTGGGGTCTGGGCCGAGGGGAAGGGTACCAGCTGGAATCTGAGCGGGAGTGCCAGCTGTGGAGAGGGGGCACCTAGGGGCGAGCAGCTCTGGGTGGGGGAGAGACTCGGTGCCCTCCCAGTCGCCACCGACCTGTTTGCGCAGTGTAGGGGGAGGGAAGCAGACGTGGGAGGGGGCGGAGGAAAGAGAGGAAGGGAGAAAGGGAGGGAGCAGAAAAAGAGGAAGGGGGGGAGACACCAGCCAGAAAATAGATATTAGCCCAGACCACCCGCCTTTTCTCTGTTTGTCCGCACGGCACGGTGGGCAGAGCACACAGCATCGGCACTGCGGCGGGCGCCGGGGCTGGGAGGCATCTAGCGTCACAGCTAGCGGCGCCTGCTCTGGGCATCGGGCTGAGGTCCGATGCCCTAGGGCTCGGATTGCCTGGGCAGAGGAATCCTGGGGAAAGGGGCAGCCTTTTGCCCTCCTTTCTGGGACTCGGGTTTGGGGAGAGACCGTTTTACCTTTGGAAAGCGCCTGCTCTCCGGGAGATGGGAGCCCAGGCCTCGCCTGGATCTCTGGGCTAGGAGAGGGTCGCGGCAGCCGAGGAAGAAAGTGAGGCCTTGGGTCGAGTGGATGGGGGGCCTGAAGAGACCGCCTCAGAGCCAACTGGTGTGGAGAGGCTGTAGCGGTGAGGCAGGCCCTGCTGAATGCCCCCGGAGAGCCAGCCCATCTCCCCGGGGGCAGCAATGACCATGCCGACCCAAGGGCGCCGGAGCAGCTTCGGGGAGAGGCGGCCGGGATGCGCAGGCCTTGGTGGGGTTGCCGCGCAGGGAAGGGTCTGAGTGTACAGCGGACGGGTCCCAGGCCAGGCCCGAACGCTGAGGCGGTGAGGAGGGTGGAGGCGTCAGGGGTTTGTCCCCTGAGGGACGAGCAGGAGGCTGGGACCGACCCTAGGGCTCCGGATCCTTTTGTTCGCCAACCCCCCCCCATCTTCTTGGGAGGCCAGGGCCACGGGGTGTCTCCAGCGGCCAAGCTCCCTTCTGCTTCAGTACTGAGAAAAGCAGAGGGTGACCGGGAAAGAGACAGAGACGGTGACACAGCTTGCAGGAAAGGAGACGGGGGTGGGGGCACTCAGAGCCAGGGGCAGGAGAGGAGGAAGAGAGAGGGAAGAGGGGGCTGGAGAAAGAAGACAGGAGACAGAAGAGGCCGAAGGAATGAGAGAGACAGGAGCAGAGCGAGAGAGCCCGTGTGAGAGAAGGGCGGATAGGGCCGAGTGGGTACCGAGGCCCTGGCTGGGGTGAGGGCGTGGCAAGGGCTTGGCGTGGGCTTTTTGGGGCCAGAACCCGGGCTCAGCGTTCGGGATAGGGGTGTCAGAACCCGAGAGAGCCAAGATACTCCTAGGTGAACGCGCCGCTGGGCAGAGAAATATGTAAATCAGGGCTCCCTGTGCCCTGAAGAGTGGCGCAATTACGCCCCCTGAACAAGAAGCAACAAGCTCCCGGCGGGTGAGCTGCAGAGGGTGGCGGCGTCGCGGGGGAGGGAGCGGCTGCAGGAAGGGGGTGGGGGTGGGAACCTCACACCCTCACACCTAGTCCCCTGTGCCCCGGGCCGGGGCTCCCCCCTCCGCTCGCCGCTTCTCTCCCTTCCCCCTTCCTCCCCCTTCCTCCCCCTCCCTCCTCCTCCCTGCCGGCCTCGGTCCGCGTACTTAAAGCGGCGCGGGCGGGCGGACGCGGGCGGGCGGCCCGGTCGGGCGGTGGCAGATGCGCCCAGCGGTGGCAGCCGCCGGCGGCGCGCAGGTGACCGGCCTGCGGCGCAGCCTAGTCAGGGGGCGCCTGGGGAGAGCTGGCGGGAGAGGGAGGCAGATCCGCCCCCAGCGCGCGCGCGTCTCGGCGCCAGGAGCCGTCCCGGGGCGTGTTGGCGAGTGCTGATATAGATATAAGGACATTTCTCTCCATGGCGTCACGTGACATAATTACCACCAGAATCAATCAAGATGAATTGCACGTCAGCGCCCGGTGGGGATTTTTGCTTAGTTGATCCTGGCCCAAGCCTCTTGTGCAATCGATGGCTCAGGTTGGCGGCGCGGGGAGCGGCCCGGGGCTTGCCGGCGTGCACGCCGCGGAGCCATGAACGACTTTGACGAGTGCGGCCCGAGCGCAGCCAGCATGTACCTGCCCGGCTGCGCCTACTATGTGGCCCCGTCGGACTTCGCTAGCAAGCCGTCATTCCTTTCGCAACCGTCGTCCTGCCAAATGACTTTCCCCTACTCTTCCAACCTGGCGCCACACGTCCAGCCGGTGCGCGAAGTGGCCTTCCGCGACTACGGCCTGGAGCGCGCCAAGTGGCCATACCGTGGCGGCGGCGGCGGTGGCGGAGCAGGGGGCGGTGGCGGCGGGGGCGGCCCTGGCGGGGGCGGCGGCGGCGCCGGGGGCTACGCTCCCTACTACGCGGCGGCGGCGGCGGCAGCGGCGGCGGCGGCGGCGGCCGAGGAAGCGGCCATGCAGCGGGAGCTGCTCCCGCCCGCGGGTCGCCGGCCAGACGTGCTCTTCAAGGCGCCCGAGCCGGTGTGCGCCGCGCCCGGGCCGCCGCACGGCCCACCAGGCGCCGCCTCCAACTTCTACAGCGCGGTGGGTCGCAATGGCATCCTGCCGCAGGGCTTCGACCAGTTCTACGAGGCAGCTCCCGGGCCCCCATTCGCCGGGCCGCAACCTCCGCCGCCGCCTGCGCCGCCGCAGCCCGAGGGCGCTGCCGACAAGGGCGACCCCAAGGCCGGGGCCGGTGGCGGCGGGGGCAGCCCCTGCGCCAAGGCGACCCCCGGCTCGGAGCCAAAAGGGGCAGCGGAAGGCGGCGGCGGCGAGGGCGAGGGCCCCCCGGGGGAGGCGGGATCCGAGAAGAGCAGCGGCGCAGGTAGGCACCGGGCACGGGTCGCGCGGCTGGGCCCGGGGGCCGCGGACGCGGGGGGGTGGCGGGGGCCTCCCTCTGCTTGCGCCGTTTTATGTGCTACTTTATAAGCATTCGAAGGGGTTTATACATCCTATAAGATTTCCCGGGTCGTTGTAAAGCGTGTTTATGATAGGAAACCAATTTAGGTGGGCTTAAGGTAGACTTCGAGGAGGACGTGAATGGTTGCAGAGAGCTTTTCCCGTCCTGGGAGGGGTTGGGGGGTGCTAGGGACCATGGATGGAGGGAGAGAGATTTCGAGACAGTTTGTGAGTGCAGACACCGGAGCCTCCCGCTTTTAAGGGAGGGTGGGGGGTGGTGTTGATCCTTGCACTGGACTTTATCCAAGCCGCTGGCTGACGCGCGCCGCTGGAGTGGAGCAGATGCCCCTGCGGGCGCGCTCCTGTCTCCCTGCCCTCAGGTTCCAGTTCAGAGCCTGCCTCGCCCTCCGCTTTCCCACCTTGGTGCCAGGGTGTGTGTGTGTGTGTGTGTGTGTGTGTGTGTGGTGTGGCTCCGGGCGTGAACACACGTCCACGCCCGCACTCTCTCCTGTGCCCGCCCATATATCATCCCCCACGACGCAGGCAGGGCCTTTCAGCGGCAGCAGGGGACGTCCCCAACGGGGCTGGGGCCTGGCCCTCGCTCAGTGGCCCGAGAAGGCGGGTGGGGGCTGGCAGGCAGCGACCCCTCTCACCCTTGATCTCTTTGCCTTGCAGTGGCCCCCCAACGGTCCCGGAAAAAGCGCTGTCCTTACACCAAGTATCAGATCCGCGAACTGGAGCGCGAGTTTTTCTTTAACGTGTACATAAACAAAGAGAAAAGACTCCAACTCTCTCGGATGCTCAACCTCACTGACCGGCAAGTCAAAATATGGTTCCAGAATCGCAGGATGAAAGAAAAGAAACTGAACAGAGACCGTCTGCAGTATTTCACTGGAAATCCCTTATTTTGAGAGCTCCAGGAAGCGTCCCCTACCCCGAGCCCCACTCACCCACCCTCCTCCCCACCAGCCTGCCCACCGCAGGCCCAGTGTCCTTGGGTTTCATGCCGCCTCTTCTTGTGGACTTCACAGTCTCCCACGTCAACTCGGACAAACAGCGACACTGCATCTGCGACGAGGCGGACTGGCCGAGCGATCTATAGGAATGGTAATGAACGTCCTTACATTTTACGCCAATGTGCTGTCCTTACCCCTCCCCCTCTCCAAGTCCTCGTGGGGCCGCGGTGGGCTCTGCAGGGAGTTAGGCCGCGGGGCTAGAAGGCGCTGGTGTTTTGTTCTGAGCTTGAACGGTCCCTTCCTTTCTCGTCGGTCAACGCAGATTATTTAAACTCCGGGAAATGTACCTTTGGTCTGTCAAGTCGAGGCATGAGTCCCTGTCTTTTTTGTGTGAATAAATGGTTTCTAGTAAAATGGAGGTTAAAGCTTCAATACACTGTATGGGTTTTCCTCTGTGAAGTTTAGAGTTTGGTTAGGATATTTTAGCGGCAATAACCCTCTCCCCCATGCACCTGGAAATCTGGTGAACTGCTTTTTGATTCTGATAAAATAGAAGTTGTTCCCTTCCACCTCCTGCAGGCTACACTGGTCTTTAAAATTATGTTAGTGATGAGGAACCAAAGAAGCAGATTAACATCCCCGCCTCAATCCAGTGAACTTGGAATTTCTGAAGATAACAAAAAAATTTTTTTAAAAACCGGTTAGAAAATCCAAATTCTCTCTTCATAAAATGACAAGGATTCAGGGTCCCTTAAAAGAAGACACCTTCCATGGAGGGTTGGGGTGGGGGTGAATTTGTGGAAAGATTATCTCTCAGTGGGTGGAGAGGGCTTGAGAAGTCCAGGAGCAGGGAGAGGGAGCCCCCTGGCTGGCAGAGGGCGGGGGCCCACACCCACTTCTCCCCGCGTCTTGCTTCCAGGTAAAGAATGTGGTCCAGGCTACAGCGCACTTCGGGCTGCAGGGCCAGGCCAGGCTGTTTACAAAACCTTGAACTGTCTAGACAACACCATAAAAGCCAGAGTTCTAAACAGCTTAATTGGGTTATATTATACACCTTCTGGTGGGCCCAAAAGAGATTTCCGCAATGTGCCATAAACTGGAGAAGTGAGAAAATCTTCTTTCTCTGAAAAGAGTGAAGTGAATCTTATGACTCTTAACCTCTCCTAAGTCTAAAGTAAAAATATAAATCCATGAGATTCACAGCACTCCATGCATCTTTTGAATAGGTGTGCACTTCGAAATGTAATTTTTAAAAATTAAGGCTTCTTTGGGGAAGGAAAAACATAAGTGCATAAGTGTATGCCTTTGAACTTCCAAAATGTCAAGGTCATCACCTTTAACCTTTCTGAATAATTAGGCGCCTTAAGGTTCCTCTGTGATTTTCAGCCGCCACCCACCCTCACACATGCATGCTCACACACTTCCAGACTCTCCCCCACATTTATGACCACACAAAATCATATCAGGGACTCACCATAAATCTAAGAAAATTCCTAATTTCAGGATCAATAACCTTAATTTCCCTCCAAACATTTGTGCAATTCAATAGCAATTGACTTCTTTGGAAAAATACTGGTTAGGCTGAAATGCCTATGAGTGTGCTTTCACAATGGCTAAGAAGTGTTGGGGGTCTTTGGGGAGATCTTAGATTGTGGTCTTTTTTTTTTTTTTTCCTTTTTTTTTTTTTTTTTTTCTCTATTGAAGAACCAGCTTTTAAAGCAGGCACTTGAAAGAGGAAGCTCTCTTCAGGCTTACACCTTCATTACATTTGAAAGCAATTTGCCACCCTGTCAAATAAATTAGAGAACCTCCTATGACACGGGACACAAGAAAATATATTTATATTGTTTTAGAAAGCATCTCTCAACCTTTGGTAAAAGATGGCAATAGAAACAAAGCCTACGTTGGAATAATTTCGTTCGGAAGGGGATTCCTTTGTTTGGAATTCTGGACATCGGTTGAAATAGTTGCTGTAGTAGTAGATCGTTCTAGAAAGTTAAAACTGGTTTATTTCTTTCTCTCCTTTTTTTTTTTTAATTGCGTCTCAATGTAGCAAGGTTGTGTGCCCACCACGATAGTCAGACTGAACTCGAGATACCATTCCCCGTTTGCAGGGGCCTAGAGAGCCACACGAGGGCGCGCTCACGTTCCAGAAGCCGCGCTCGGCCCAGAGGCCGCGCGGTACCTCTGTTTCCAGGACTGGGTTGCAATGGGCGATCTCAGCCCGTTAGAAACAGGCGGCAGCTAAGGTGTTCGCTGTTTGTTTGTTCTAAGCAGCCGCGAGGTGTGGCAAGTTGTTTGGAGACAGAGAAAAGGGAGCAAAAATATATTTTTCAGACAGGAGATGGATCACCTAACCGTTGTTTCCTTAAAAATAAAGCTGTTCCAAGAATACTTGGCTACAACCTGATGGTGAAGAGGAGAGATTTTTCATAGACAAATCTGGGTTTTGAAATAGGTCGTGGCCACCGAGAGTTAATTTAATTAGGGAAATCAATTTTCTTGTTGGCTTGAGCGTGTAGAGCGATGTCGAAGGCAGGAGTCCTCCCCCCAGCCCCCCTTCTCCACCTCCCGAAAACCGCGTCCGTCCTGCGAGCTCTCAGACCGCCTGCGATGATTAAAAGGCTTTTGTTTAAGACGGATCAGGGCGCCGGCAACTTAGCTGAGTGTGGTCTCGGAGAAAATGAGTCTCCTCAGGCACGGAGGTGGCCGTTTGGGGCTAGGAAGCCCGGGACACGTCTGGCGCGCTCAGGGCTACGCGGGGCGACGGGGAGGCGCGGGCAGCACCGCGATTTGGGGTGCCGGGGCCGCGCCGGCCGGATGCCGCCGCGGGAGGCAGCCGGCTGTCCTGGGAAACATTGATATTTCGAGGCGTTGTGGAACGGGAATGCATTTGAAGCAAACGGGGTTCGCGTTCGACAGAACCCTGGCCACCCTTCCAGGTCGCCCGCCGGCTTTGAGGTGCGGAGCTTGGTTTTGGCACTGACTCTCAGAAGCAGTTTATTCGCAGCACGCCCTCCCTGCCCCGGCAAAACCTTTGACATTGGGGAGCGTCTCTTTCTGCGTCCGCTAGCCTAGAGGTTGTGAGCAGGTTTCCAGGACGTGGGCCTCTCCGAGAGAGGATGGCTGCTCCTCTGGCCCCGCGAAGTTCAGTGTGAAGAGCCCGCAGCTCCCAGAATGAGCGCCCGCCACATCGGCTCGGCGGTCTCTGTCTCCCGCGCTCCAAGCCCCAGACCTTGCAAGGCGCTGGCGCTCTCCCGT